AAGGATATATATATATATATATATTGTTACATATGTAAGACTTAGGGAATTACGTGGGACAAATGTAAATCTTTCAAAACTAGACGGTTTTTCTCATGTTTAAAAATTGATCCAAATTAACTGAATTGATTAATTCAATATTTATTGAATTTGCAGTATACTTATTTTGAATTTAGATGGGGCATTTACATGCATTCCCCTCAAATTCTATATATTCACATATCTAACCCATAACTGCTTTTTTGCTTCTATGCCCTCCAAAACATTTCATTCGCACACATTTTTTTCAACAATTTAATTTTTAAAAACTGAAATACACAATTTCATTTATAATAAAGGTGACATGTAAAAATTGAAGTTTAGATATTTGATATAAAAAATACATAAGAATTGAGTGGCATATACACAAGTCATTCAGATAAAAAATGTTCAAAATCGTGTGTGAAGCTGCTGAAAGTAATCTGATGTTCAAAAAACTGCAGTTGTTATTACATTCGATGTGTGCCAGAAAATTCGTGACAGTAGAGTAATGAATTATTGTCTCAGTGTTGCACGAGAATTCAACTCACATAGATAAAAGAAGAGAAGTAAGTAAAAAGAGACACATCGACTTTTTAAGTGGAAAACACACTTGAAAGGGGAAAAAACCATGAGGCCTAGCCCAGTTGAAATAATCCATTATGCATTGCAGTGGAGCGTCGCGACGATACGTTGTGACAACTCGACGCATTGTGGCAGTGCGTCACGACAATGGATCATGGCAACGCGTTGCTGCAAAGAGTTGTGATGAAGAATTGCAACGCAGATTAGGGTGAAAAATTGTTGCACATAGTTGAGGTGAATAATTGCAACACAAAGTTCTGGCAAATAAGTTGAAAGGAAGAGCTGCGACGAAGAGGAATGTAGTCCACGTCATGTGTAGCAAGCCAGCTGTTTTCGTTTATTTTTTCTCTTTTTTTATTTTAAAAGGAGTCGCCAGCTTGTCAATCGTCGTATACTTCCCCCATTCGAATAAATCTCCCTCCCGAACCATATGAATGATTTGAAGAGGAGAGGAATCGAATAAAAATGGACATACGACAAAGTGACAAACAAGAGAAAAAGTAAAACGTGGAAAGTCTATGTGCGATAAACCTCGCAAGGATATATTAAGAATGTTCGCCCAAACAAGATCGGGCGGAGACACCTTAAACCAATATCCGCGAAAGAAGTATCTACATAGACTACCCATAACCAGAGAGTCAGGTGTATGTACCTGTTCTGGGGTCAAGAGCACTCCCAGAGGAACGTGTTCCTACTGGTTAATTACATCTTGGGGGATACCCAAGAATACTCTCGATAAAAGGAGTTTCGCTTCATATTATCATAGATCTGGGGTATA